ATGAATATAAATATTAAAAAATATTAATTTAAAAATTATATAAAAATAAAAAGTAGATAAATGTAGTAAAAACAACTTTTTTTTTTTATATATATTTATTTATTTAGCAGTCAAGAGTTGATCAAAAATAAAAACTAACTCATATAAAATATTTATCCATCTATTTGAAGTAACTTAACTTTGAGCTAAGATATAGTAAATTGTATCTGAGAGATTCAAGTCTATTTGCAATGTTATTCTAAATTTATGTAGACTCATATATAAAATATAAACATGTGAAAAACTAGAATTTAAATAGAACTCAATGGGTTCCGAGCTGCAGTAAGTCTAGGATAAACAATGAGATTTACTTTCAGTGAAATTGAACTCAATTGAATTGCATTAAATGCAATGCATATTTCAATTAAGTTTCAACAAATGAATTCCAATGGCTATTGTTCAAATTCAATTTGGATTTCCATCTATGCTGCCATTTGGCCCGAAAACATAATTAGCAAACATTTTGCAATTAGCAGAGTTTCAAATCTGCTCTCCATTGTAGCTAGGGGCTTGCAGTGTGAATTTAATACAAATTAATTATTATGAAGCGAGTTTATGTGGCAAATATTTCGAGTTGGGCTGCAAATTTGTGTGCAAATTGTGAGCCAAAAACTCTAGTTGCTGAAAAGTAAGCTACACACACACACACACACACACACACACAAGCACACACAGTCATACATAATGGAGAATTTTCATTAAGCAAAATGCATTTTGCTTTGCTTTACGAACAAAAAAGCAGGCAACAAAGTAGAAAAAAAAAGAAACATAAAAAAGCAATAAGCTCTGGTATCCAATAGATACGCAACTAGCACACCAATACACAAGGGTTAAATTGGCACACACACACACATAGAGAAAGAGAGACACGCACTGAATACACACACACACACACACAGCAGAGAAGCAAAGCAAATTATGTGTTTTATATATACTATATATATATACATATACTATACTTGTATATATATTTTTAGGGGCGCTTAACCTTTCGAGCGGCTTAAGTTGTATCTACCAGAAGGCAGTATGCCTATGCATGGGTGTGTGTGTGTGTGTTTGCCTTGCTTTGCCTTGGCTCTGGCAGCGATTTAAAGACAAAATCCCAAAAATAAGCCAAACAAGAGGCTAACAAACCAAATAAACCAGCAAAAACCAAAGCGCGCACTCTAAGCCCAAATTAAATCAATTTTCCCCCCCCGTTTTCGTTTTTTTTTTTTTTTTTTTTTTTTTTTTTTGTCTTTTGCTTTATTTTTTAATTTTAAAAATAAATGTAATTAGTTCAGCTTCAATTTATATTTGTTTTTGTTGTGGGCATTCATTTATTATTATTGTAGCTGCTTGATTTCGTGTTTGTGTATAGAAGAGAGAGAGAGAGAGAGAGAGAGAGAGAGCGAGTGAGGGAGAGAGAATATGAAAGCAAATACAGAAAAAAAAGGCATTTTGCGTGGCCAAATGTTTAATCAATATGCGGCCAAATATATCCGTCAAGTCAGTCTTCCTTAGTTCCTGGCTGCCTACCGTTCCCTCCATTTGCGCAGCTCCTCCGCTCTGCCATTACCCCCCCCCCCCATGTCGGGCATGTCGACATTCCGCACTTCTGACATATAGAGTACATGATTTGGGCAGGCAATTACACAGTATCTGACAGCCGCCCATTCCCCATCGGGCCACCCAACTCCCCGAAATTCAGATTGAATTGAAAATCAAAATTGTGGCGCATTTTGTGGGGCAGAGCTGGAAAATTAGACGCTGCATGCATATATGTTTATACATATATATATGTGTAGGTAGATAAATGTATTGATAGTAATATGAGGCTATAAGTCGAGCGTATTTAAGGATTTAAGTGGTATTTTATTGATTTTCCCCATATAAACACACATATACACACATATATATATGTATTAATTAAAAAAAAAAAACCTCCACTTCGTTAAGTCAACTAATTAAATGCGCAAATTATTTCAATATGAAGCAAATTGAATTGTGGTTTGGACTATTTTTTATAGAATTTTTTATGTGGATGAATGTGGAGTGCAATGATTATATATGTATGTAGCTGAAAAGCTCTTGAATTAACTGTATATAAACAATGTATGCGATTTTAAATTAACTATTATTCAATATTACTTGACAGTGATGAATAATGAATAATATAATAGAAAACTATACTGATATAAATGGCTGAATATTATATGATATTACGAAATACAAGCTAATGATATAGTGATGAATAATGAATAATATAAAGTTAAACTATAATGATATAAAAGCTAAGTACTACATAACATTATGAAATATTATCTAATGCTATAATCATGATGAATGAGCAATATAATGGCAAACTCTAATATTATTAGCTGTATATAAATATAATATAATAATGAAATAATCAAATACAATAAATAATATACATTAAAAATAACGTAAATCTTATATGTATAGTAGATTGTTTTACAATAACATATATACGAATAAAACTAAAATTGTAAAAATAGCTATGTGGTCCATTCCATTAATTTTAATTGCTCAATATTCAATAAGAGTAAAAACGATTATAAAAAAAAAAATAATATAAAAAATAATAATATAAAAAATAATAATATAAAAAATAATAATATAAAAAATAATAATAAAAAAATAATAAAAAAAATTATAATATAAAAAATAATAATATAAAGAAATATAAACAAATAATATAAAAAAATATAAACAAATAATATAAAAAAATAATATAAAAAGACAACAAAAAAAAAATAATATAAAAAGACAAAAAAAAAAAATAAATAAAAAAATAATATAAAAAATTATATAAAAAAAATTAAAAAATGATATAAAAAAATAAAATAAAAAAAAAATAATATAAAACAAAAAATAATATAAAAAAATAATATAAAAAAATAATATAAAAAAAAATAATATAAAAAAAATAATATAAAAAAAAAATAATATTAAAAAAAATAATATAAAAAAAATAATGTAAGAAAATAATGTAAAAAAATAATATAAAAAATAATATAAAAAATAAAATAAAAAAATTATAATATAAAAAAAAATAAAATAAAAAAATTATAATATAAAAAAAATAAAAAAATAATATACAAAAATAATATTTAAAAAAATATATACAAAAATAATATAAATAAAATATAATAAAAAAAAAAAAAGAAATTAATAAAATAGAATAATAATTAATGTTTGACAATAATATATAAACTCAGTAATAAAACTGAAGTTTTATATAATGCCCATAATCCATTGCATGAGCTAACAATTATTTGTAATTAATTCTTCATTATTCATTATCAGTCAAAGTTAATAGAAAATAAAATAATAAATAAATAACAAATAAAATAATATTTAATAGCTATTGCAATGTTTGATAATATTATATAAACTAAAAAAAAAAAAAAAAAAAAAAAAAAACTTAAAGCATTATTATGAATGCATTAATTAGCACTTCACACACTTGTTCATTTATTCATTCGTCTATTCACTCGTTCATTCAAGGAATAACTATAACAATTCAGACACATAATGGAGAATTATGGAAATGTCTCTCAAACAAAACAAAAGCGGAAAAAATAACTAAAGTCATCTATAAGTGACTAATGGTAGAGTCTTTAGTGTTGGCTAAATTATCGAGTTTGTCTATAAAGTTTTGGTTAACTAACGGTTAGTTCGAGCTGCAGGTGGGTGTAGTGGCAGGCAACAGACAACGGCCCCTAAATAAAGGTTCCATTTCTTGTTTTTTTTTTTTGTTTGGCGTTGCCAAAACAAATTGCCAAAGCGGTGCAGTTGGAGCGGGCTCCCTCCACAGAGCCTAAGCGCTGTCCCCATCTCATCTATTGAGCCGAATCGAATGAATAAACGTGGGGATATTAAACAGTCAACGCATTATTGTCGTCTGACACGAAACAATAAGAAGCCAAGCCAAAAGAAAACTTGGCAATAGCTTGACAGAGCGATCGTGGCATTTGCTGGCTAGGGGTTGCTTCATGTGTGTGTGTGTGTGTGAGTGTGTGTGAATGTGTAACAGTCACCATTGTCGCAAAAAGCTTTTCCCACTGTTTGTTTGGCTTTGAGGTCACTGGGTTAAGTTTATGGCTTAGCACGCATTTCTGCTCAAGTTTGGCAATTTCCTATCTGCGGCACGGGGGGGTTGAGTAGCTACCCCCACCTCTTATTATCTACCGTGCCTTTAGCGCACTTCGCTTTTGTTGCCTCTAGCTCTCTCTCTCTCTCTCTCTCTCTCTCTCTCTCTCTCTCTCTCTCATTGCATTGCATAGAGTCTAGCAGTTGCTATTATTAAGTAAGTTAAAAAATAAACTCATTTCATTTAAGCCGAATGTTTGCGGCTTCAACTATTTGGCAAAGTCTAAAGTTTCTTGGCCTTAAATGCCGTCAAATATTTTGTCTATCAGTCCGTCTCTCCGTCTGTTGTCGATTCAATATGTCTGTGTGTGTGTGTGTGTGCGACGGCGGCGTCGATGTCTGTTTGCATAACCCTGGCTTTAGCCCATTAAAAGCATCTGGCATTGACCTTTGGCATTTGCCAATGCGAGCGTGGCATACGAAACTACAAGCAACGGTAGACGTCGTAGTGTGCGTGTGTGTGTGTATGTGTGTGTGTGTCGCACAGTGCTGCCTAAACCTTGCGCTGCTGATTATGCTACACTTTCTTTTATTATTTTACAACAAGCCCAAGCAGCAACAACAACAACAGCAACAACAACAGCAGCAGCAACAAGCGTCATAACTAACTCATTAGCACATAAAACTTTGTGCCAGCCCCAAGCCCCACCGCGCCCACACCCAATCAGTTTTTGAGGTCACAAATGAGGGTTTGGCTAGGCGGCGTGAGCTGGAAGTTTGAGGTTTTTGTTGGTCTTGTTGCTGGCAACCTGAGGTTGTTTTATTGAGTTTCCGTTTCGTTGTCGTTAATTCAAAAAAACCGTTAACAAGTCTCTTACTCACACACACTCACTCTCGCTCTCTTTTTATTTTTGCAGGACATTGCGGCTTATATCAAGAAGGAATTCGACAAGAAATACAATCCAACATGGCATTGCATTGTCGGCCGCAATTTCGGATCGTATGTGACACACGAGACGCGCCATTTCATATATTTCTATTTGGGCCAGGTGGCCATTTTATTGTTTAAGAGCGGTTAAAGTATTGTCGAGTCGGATGAAGTGGTGGTCAGGAGGCTGGAGGAGCAACAGCAGCAGCAGCAGCAGCAGCGACAACAAAAACAACAACATTTAGATGTAGCAGCAACTGTTGCTGTTGCGGCTACTGCTGCTGCTGCTGCAGCAGCAGCACAACAACAGTTAGATGTGCAGATGGAAGTGGAACTGGAGGATGGCCAGGGGAATGAGCTGGAGGAGGAGGCGACAACAACAACAACAACAACAACTACTACTACTACTACTACTACAAGAACAACATCAACAACAACAGCAACAGCTGATCACGACGTGGAGTTAATGCAACAGCAACAACAACAACAACAACAACATCATCATCATCAGCAGCAGCAGCAGCAGCAGCAGCAGCAGCAGCAGCAGCAGCAGCAAACCTATGAAGACATGGAGTTGGATCTGGACGAGCTGGCTATGCCAATAGATGGCGCTGCACAGCAATGTGCTGCGTATGTCTATGAGCAGCAGCAGCTCGTACAGCAGCAGCAGCAGCAGCTTGCATATGGTGATGACGACGATGAGGATGATGTTGATGATGATGACGATGGCGACGACGACACTATAGTGGAGGACAGCGATGCAACCAGCTGCAGCAGCTGCTTGCGCGCTGACTTGGAATATGAGGAGCAACAACAACAACAACAACAACAACAATTGTCAACATCAGCAGCAGCCGAAGCAGCAGCAGCAGCGTCAACGTCGCCGCCAACTCCGCCGTCTCCACCGACAGACATGAATTGAAGAGGGATTTGCTGTTGCAGTAACTACCGCATCCTGTACAGCTTTTCGTAAAAGGCCGCCCAAAGTCGTAGAAGCTAAATAATACAATAGGCACACACACACACACACAAACACACACACCGACACACATACTTATACAACTGCTAAGCATTACCATTGTATGAAGCGACTTAAGCAACCGTTTGGACCAACAACGCTGTTTTAATTTCCACGCTAATATCTGGTCAGAATTTCCTTAAGCGTCCACATACCGAATCCTCCTTATTCCACGTACCATTTAAGTTACATTTATAACACTTTATGATATATATATATATAATTAACAACTGCTATTGTTTTCCTTCTATTGGTATTCTTATTTTACACAAACATTGCTTAATCGTAATTGTTTATAAAATGAAACATTGTATCATACAATACAAAAACGAAAAAAAAAGTTGGAAGGAGATTATCATAATGAAGAGCAAATAGAGAGAAAAAAAACACACACACATATTCAAAACATGTATGCATGTTTAATTTGTTTTCTTTTATTTTGCTTTGTTGTTTTCTTGTTTTCCGTTCGCCATTTGCCCTATTTCTCTTTGTTTTCTTCTTCTCAATCTCGTCCCAATGGTTTTTGCACTCTTGTTGGTGTCTTGGCTTAGCATGTGCAGCAACCAATTAGCAGCTTATCACGGACACAAACACACACTGGGACACGTGCGTACATACACACATATATAAATATAGCACAGGCAACAACCACCACTGCAACCGAACGAAAATTAACGAAAAAGCAACAAAATGCAATCAAGAAACAAAATTTTTTAATATGTTTACTGCGTTTGAGTTTTACTTTTTGATTGGTTTTTGTTTTGAAAGCAACTACGGATCACAAAACATAATGCAAACAATGTTGATAACTGTGCTGCACTAATGGAAGGCGACGGATTGAATTGAAATGGTCTTCCATTAGCAGATTTAGCCAAGTTGTGTCGCTGCATCTAAATGGGCAGCACTGGAGAGCACAATGGTGTAGTTGATTTCGCTTTGAATGCGAGTTTGTCTTAGTTGTTTAGTTCAAGTGTATTTTTGTTTTTGCGCAACTCGATTGTTGATTCAATTGAGAAACTTGAAATTTGTAGCAAACAATGCAGAAAAATGAATAAATATCCATCCAAAAAGCAGACAAAAGGAGAGGAATACAAAGATTTAATGGCAGAGGTAGATAGAGAGAGAGAAATGGAAAGTAAAATATTATATTGCGATTAAAGCAAATTATTAAATAAACATGAAACATCATGATAATTGTCATCTTGTCGTTAAATAAATGTGTGCAATCTGTATGTTCTTTAAACTAATAAATAATTCTTCTTCTTTTTGAAATCAGCAAACATAAAGCAAAGCTATAAAGCAAAACAAAAATAAGCAAATATATATATTGAACTTAAATTGGTGTAAATTATGCAAAATACAAATATGAAAAAAAAAAACAAAGCAAACAAAAAAATAAATACAAAACGAAAAAGTCGCGGAAATAGAAAAAAGAAATAAATAAACTCCAAAATAAATCAGTATAAGCTAAAGCAAAGCAAAGAAAAAAAAAAAGAAATACAAAATAAATACATACGTAATTTCCTACTCACACAGCAAGAGGATAAACATAAATACCAATACGAATACCTATGTCGAAGTTATGCAGCACTCACACACATACACAGTGACACACACACACACACGCGAGCGATTGCCGTTACTTTTTTGTACACTGCACCACAAATTTGCTATATATTTACGTTTTAGACTTTTTGCTGCACGTTTTCACACACACAAACAACTACTATTTATGGCTAACGGTAAGAAATACACACAAACACACACACACAAGAATAACCTAAAGTAGAGAAACTATATACACACACGTGCATACACATTTATGTATATGCATGTGTGTGTGTGTTTCTCTTGAATGGACTCTATACATATACATATTAAAACCCACTCCTACAAACACAAGAGAACTTCTTATAAGTGTTTATATATACAATACATATATAATGAAATGCAAAACAAAAGTGCAAGCATCATTTTTTTTTGTCATAATGCAAAATACTTGGGCATTAAAAGAAACAAAAAAGAAAAAACCATATATATATATACATATATATGTATTTAAATACATATATATATGAATACAATTTTTGATGTATAACTTCAATGAAAACGGAACAAAATAAAAGAAAGAAAACTAAATAAGAAAATTGATGTGAATTGAGTGAAAAAAAAAATATCTAAAGTAAATTGAAAAAAAGAAATTGATTTGTGTAGAGAAATTGAGCAATTGTTTTAAAAATTTGAATATCCGCATTTGTTTTTGCTGTAGCTTCAATTACAACTGCAAAATCTTTATATTCTCAATTTCCTCTGATTAACTGAAATTACCAGATTTTGTTGAAAACTAGAAATAGTTTAGTTTAGCACACTTAACTTTAGTTTCGTAAAGTTTCTCAATAATTTACGTATTTATTTTTAGTATATTTTTAAAGTTCAATTTGTTCTACTTGAAAATCTGTGTACTTTTAGTTCAATTGTGTGCATAAGTTTTTTTTATAAGATCTAGAAAATTATTATATGATGAAGGTGCAGAAATGGAATATTTAAAAGTATATATATATACGAATAAGAAGACAAGTGAATGAAAAACAAAAAATAAACAGAAACAAAAACCAAATGAGATCTTTAATGTGAAATAAAAGTACTTCTTGAAGACAATGTATTTTATTTATTCTGGGCGGATTTCAGGTGATTTAGGGCGTGAATCGAAGGTCGTCGTGGAAGTAGACAAACTTTTAAATGTGTAGCTTAAAGTTTCCGTTGACTTTTGCTTTTATAAACTTAACGATTTTAAATCATTGAGGTATTAATGCCAAGGTGGCCATATTTTTTATTTTTTCTGATACATTTATTTGGTATTATACGTTACAGATTTACATTGTCATTGACCTTTTAAATTTTTAACAGTTTCTTTCAACGATAGCCACAAGTTTATTTGGTATAATTTGTAATACTTTTTTTCATATGGGATATTCAGTTGTATATTTTTTAGCCACCGACAATTAACCCTTTCTCTTGAAGCTTTTAAAAGCTGCAGCAAATAAAATACCAAACAGAAATTATTTTCAGTATATTTTTAAAAAATGTTCGTTAGCTGTGAGTCCATTTAGTATATTTTGCTGAACATTTTTCCATGTGGGAAATTGGGTCACAGATGTCGTAGTCTTTGGCCATTAAAAACCAATACATTTTGATGAGAAACTATTGAGCTTTAGAAAGCTTTACAGACATATACCAAATATATATATGATTTACAGTATCTTTTTTCTAAATGTGGCATATTTAGTATCATTTGGTATTCAAATTAGCGTATTTTTTTGTAGCCATTGACCAGCAGCTGTTACGCGAACGAGAGAGAATAGTCGAAAACGAAAGCCGTGAAAATGTTGCGTACGTTGTCGCGCGTTAGTGAATTGCCAATTATTGTTAAGCAATTGCAAAAAGTACGTAACTGTAAAGCAGCCGTTGCTGTCACTAACAAAACTATTGTAACTGTCACTAATACGAAGCAACACCAACACCAACAACAACAACAGCAACATAAAAAGCAAACCAACAGAAGCAGCAGAAGTTACAGTGACAATAACAACAACAACAACAACAGTAACAGGAGCAAATGCAACAGCAATGTTAACAGCAGCAACAACATTGGAAGACAACAACATAAAAACCACCTAAGATTTGACAGCAGACGCAGTTATTCATCGTCATTTTTCGGTTTATTCCAGAATGCAGCACAGGCCGGTGTCGCAAAGACCAATAATTATGCCACGGAAGCGACCGTGCAAGTGAATCGAGTGAGTATTTTAGGGCAGGAGCAGCATACCAACCGCCCCCACATCGCCCACGAATCAAGTTCTAGCAAGCAGTAAGAAATTGCCGATTACATAATGTATGCTGGTGTGTGTCTGTGTGTGCGTGTGTTCGACCGCCTGTCCATTTGTGTATGACCTGATTGCGCAGTGTTGCATTTGCGCGTTTTCGATTAGTTGCATTGCCGGCCCCAAGGTCATTGACTAACACAGTCTTGCGGGCAGCGCGTGACCGACGTCGGCAGCGACAGCGACAGCGGCAGCATGAGCACAACACGCACTTTCTTATCAGAATTCGGTTGTTGTGGCTGCTGCTTCACCAGCACTAACAACTGATTGACTGATTATGAAAATTAGATGCTGCAATTTTGTTCAATGTTATATATGAA